ATCCTAAATCTACAGACATACGAATTGTATGTTTTGTTTTCAAATTTACTTCTTAAATAATATTCGTAATTACAATAACCTCTTTTAAACTTCACAAGCAAAGCTATATATCTCGATCTAACTTGCAAAACCCGCCTCAAACAAGACCTGCTCGAGATTTTTTTACTCAATAATATGTTGTTCATCAATTTTGGTTTCTTTATGTAGTTTGTATCCAAAACAGATGATCTAATTCATTTAATAGAAAATTTGTTAGAAAAAAGGAAAAATTGATCTAAATAAAGATATTTATTCAAAATATAATAAAAGCACTAAAGATTTATATGTGATGCAAGCAATTTTCAGAACAATTGATCGACTTATCCGTGACACGATTCTCACCACAAGAAACTACAAAAAATATAGTAAGAGTTTGCTTACGATTAAATTCTCAATTTTTATAATCGGTTTTATAGGTTCTTTGTTTTTAAGTTTTTGGCAATGAACAACTTCTGTTTTACCAAACATGTGTATATACAAACCCTTACATTTTCAAAATAAGATTCAAACTCATTAAAAAAAAAATATTTATATGTTTCAATCAAGTTCCAAAAAAACTAAGTTCTGCATTAATCTGTGTCTAGCCGGATACAAGTTTAAAATTATTACACGTTTGTCCTATTAACTTCTACCGATGATTTTAACAGTGGTTTTTGTTAGAAACTACTATAGCTAGTACAAAAATCGTAATCTAAAAATTTACATCTATTTAAAATTATTAAAAATGAATAACGTACATATATTATAGAGAAATTTAAAAAATACCACTTTTCAAGTGTCACTTTACAAAAATGCCACACTTTTGAAATCTTTACAAAAATGCCACTTTTTCAAAATTATTTTTTTTATATTATTTATATTTGGATTAGTTATGTTCTATTAGGGTTTAGTTTTGAGTGTTTAGGGGATTTGGTGTCAAAACATTTTTTAGTGTTTAAAATTTTAAGATATAGGCTTTATAAATTTATAATTAGTGACATTTTTGTAAATGGACACCTCTAAGTGGCATTCTTGCAAATGTGCACACACAAAATGACATTTTTGTAATTGCCCC